TTACCTGAATGGTCTGTAAATAGTAACCAGGCATTGACAGCTTCATATCACAGTCCAGGGAGACACGACCATGGCGTGACACTGTGGGTGTTTGTGTTACAGTTTCTGAATTGTTCCACTCCTATGAGAGTGATATGTGACAGATCCTGCGGCCGGCTGCCCCGTCTCTGTACTACTGACAAAGGCCTTTAACCCGGTAAGAACATGTATGAAGACACTGTGTGGACATCTAAGCTGGTCTGAGGTCCCACAGTCACACACGTTGAAAGGAAGGTGTAGAGGGTACCGTGATGATGGAGGGGAAAGTACTGAGAAGGACCTGCAGTACAGATCTACGTTAGCGTTGATTTTGGTGCTGTTGATCCAAATGCTTAAATTATAAGGTTTCAGGTAATCAGCATATAAATATATACACATTTACCAGTGTCAGTGTCCATTGTTTATCTGCCTGAAGTGCTGAAAGACTCTGAAACAGTCATTTTAAATTCCAGATTTCATTGTTTCCCTTGGCACAAAATAGAAAAAGAGCAGTAAAAATAAAACGAACGAAGGAATGAAAATATGAAATCAGCTATAGGCCAAATAATTATAAACATCAGCGTCAGCCCAAAATTTCACAATCAGCACATCTTGAGTTTGAACAATTGGAAAAGCTGAAAAAGATGCTCATGCAGTGAATGAACTGAAGTGCAGTGCTCTGTTCAGTCCTGTTTTACGCAGGATGAAGTGTAACAGCTGAAACAGGGAAGTGAAAGTGTTGTTGAGTAGCATTAATCTTGTACAGAGCCTGTCGTGCAGACCTCTGTGGGCCAAGTCTTCAGCGTCTGAATTTATACCTACTGCCATGTTCCTCTAACATTCTTTGAGTATTTATATGTCTCTGTGCGGGGATTTTTCACAGATGGCTTTTCAATGTTAAAAATGTTCTTCATGGTGTCAAAATATCTTTAGTATCCAGGAGACATCCTGCTTATCATCCATGTCAGAAATATTCTTTTTGCACTCAATAAATGGTGGAAATGGAAATACTGTCTGTGCATTTGTTTGATCAATGCTCTGCTGTTGAGTCCCATCATACCAGTTTCCTGCCACCAGAGGGGGCTTGTGCCTCATTGATGCTGCATGAAGACTTGAAGATGAAAATGACCTCACACAAACAGGATGTATAACCACAGAAAATACACGTAACAGGCAGAACATGTGGCACCTATCATGTTTGTAGAATTTAGACTAAATTGTTATAGAATAATATCCTGTGTTTGACCAATACATTTTTCTAATAGTTTAACAAGCCCTCCTTCAGATGAAATGATAAAATCCTGGACTATTTGACCGTTTAATTTTTTTTTACTATGTTACTGCCTTGGGATGGTGACTACACCTATTGCACTGTAACTATGGGGAGAATTCCAGGTCCACTCATCCAGCCTTAATTATATGCAAAAAGGAAAGTTTTAGGCCTAATCTTAACAGCAGAGATGTGTCTGTCTCCTGAACCCAAACTGGAAGCTGGTTCCAAAGAAAGCTGAAGGCTCTGCCTCCCACTCCACTTTTAAATACTCTGGGAACCACAAGTCAGCCTGTAGTGTGAGAGTGAAGCACTTTAATTTGGTGATATACTATAAGGTCATTAAGATAAGATGGGTCCTGAATATTCAAGAACTTGCATGTGAGGAGGATTTTCAGTTTAATTTTGGATTTAACAGGAACCAATGAAGAGAAGCCAGTATAGGAGGAACCTGCTCTCTCTTTCTAGTCCCTCTACTTCATCTTCTAACTGTCATTGTGTTTATGAGCCATCCATTCTCTTCCAATTATTCAATTCAGGATGACGGATAAATGTCATCAGCTGAAGCAAAACTAGAACTGGGCTATATTTTAATGTAAAACATTTGTACCACAAGATGATGCAATAAGTCTATGTAACCTTTACTTAACCAGGCAACGCACAACGGCTGATGGGAAAACGCTTTAGGAAATGGGGTCAGGGTAAAGAAGAATTAAAACGCACAGCAGCACACATGTAAAAACACGCCCTCTGGTGGTAAATGTTTTCAAAATTAAATAAAATACTTTTAAAGATTCTAAAGGTTACGACCAGCCTCCCCCCCACACAGCTCAGTGCAAAGTCCTGTTTGACTCTTTTTTTTTAAATTTACAGAAACTCAATTTTCAGACATCAGATTTCCAACTCTTGATCTGTTGAGGTCTATCATGCACCATTCAGTAGCTGGAGGCTGAACTTTAAATGGCATTCTTCATCCTGACAGCTATCTGCCAGTTCAGCGGAAGCATTTAAAAAATGCTGAGTCCTCCTACACAGCCCCCACCTCCTTAGATGGTATGGATGTGACACCATGAGGTACACTCAAAAACTTCACTCTCTCTTCAACTTGCATCATAGAGCCACAGGAGCAGCTATCCAAGCCTCTGAGGATCCCAGTTAAAATGCTCAAAATAACCCACCTTCATATAGATGATGGTAAATGGCCTGTATTTATATAGCGCTTTACTAGTCCCTAAGGACCCCAAAGCGCTTTACATATCCAGTCATCCACCCATTCACACACACAATCACACACTGGTGATGGCAGCTACTTTGTAGCCACAGCCACCCTGGGGCGCACTGACAGAGGCGAGGCTGCCGAACACTGGCGCCACCGGGAGGCAACGGGTGAAGAGTCTTGCCCAAGGACACAACGACCGAGACTGTCCAAGCCGGGGCTCGAACCGGCAACCTTCCGATTACAAGGCGAACTCCCAACTCTTGAGCCACGATCGTCACTGCCAGCCTTCAGGCGCTTCAAGGTGAAGGATGATCATGTTTCTTCTGGCAGACTTGGCACACATACACATTTTCAACATCATTCTGAAGTAATGACTTGATTGGCTGGCTAGCATCATTGGGAGGGGTTATGATGCATGTGACTGGTCTGTGTTTCCAGTGTGCGCATAGGGACTACCGTAAATATGAAAAAAAAGGCCTTTGTGTCAGAGGTCACGGTGTAAATAAAATAACTGTCTGTCAAAATCTAACAGTAGGTCTGAGTCTGTATAGAACCAGACCCAGATAGCGTTCCATGGGTGACCTAGGCTTCAGACTTCTATACAGCACTCTGCGACTCCTTTTCTGTGAGCACAGTAATAAAGACACAATTTAAATACTTATTTCCTACATTTAGCATTAGAGAGCATACAACATACAGAATTATCAGAAATAACTTGTTTGAATGTATAGATTTTCTATAGAATAATACTAAAAGTAGAGCACAAGCGATCGTGGCACCTTAAGCAATGACAACTTTATTAATGCTCAGGTAGCAAAATGATCTCTAAAATTACATTTGAGACATCTAAACACAAAGTAAACAATTTCTTTTGAAAAGTTTCTGCGTAGGAAGAGGTAAAGCTTAGATATGCACAGAAAGATATCATCTGCATACACTCTCACTCACTATCTCTTACATCCTGTGCTAACCACAGCATGCAGTCATCTAGGATTTCCAGTACAAACTAACTCCAGTGCCATCTAAAAATGCTTTAGACTCTGATCCCAAAGTACATTAAGATTTACCATAAATAATTTATTATATCGAAGTATCTCCATGCGAGTAAACAAAGGACAAGAAACACGTCAAAACAAAGGGGATTACAGAGGAGACCTAGGAACTATGAAAATATATTCAACAGATATACAGATTGAGACAAAAAATATATAAATACATTTACACCTATTTATATACATATGTACATCAGCAATATATCACCCATGTGAATATCACAAATTATTTAGAAATCTCCTCTACAAGATGTGTCGTTTTATAATGAGAGCGCGTTTTGGTTAGTTTCAAAGTACCTCATGTTTTACACTGTAGGTACATGCAGTTAATAGCAGCACATGACGTTTGAACCAAATAATCTGTAGCATAAATTGTTTGATAGTAAAGTGCACAATATATTTTGAAATAAATAAGATGGCCAAAACTGATGCCTTGGATTAGAAAGGTGTTGGTAACGGACAGGATGACACAGAGGAAAACCACGTGTACCTCAGAGAGGGGAATGCTACGAGACATTTCGATCCATTTCTTGATTTAGCTCATACTGATGTGTTTAACCTCCACAGTAATCAGACGCTTGAGATTTGGATATTTAAAAAAAACAACAACTAATTTTTCTTTCTCATTTTTTACGCCTAGATAATTTGTCTATTTGTTCATCCCAGCAGCTGGATAGTGTAGTGGTAAAGCTACACACCTTTGGTGCAGGAGTCACAAGTTTGATTCCCACCCAGTATCCAGTTAAGGGTGCTGCCTAGACCCCCACGATGCTAAAACCAAGCCCAGGAATAGTGCAGCCAGTCTGCAGCTTGGACACAAGCATTTCTGTGCACGTGACAAATAAAATTTAAACTTTTAGCTTTTTTTCGGGAAGAAGTGGGCTTTGTAGACATTCCTCAGGAGCTGTTATTGACACAACAAAAGTCATCCAGTTATTTGGTTTGTAATTAGCACCTCATTGAGCTCTTTCAGGGAAACTCTGGAGGAAAAGTTTGAGGTGGATTAACAGTTATACCCTGATATATGTATAATAATGATCACCTCAGACTGTGTTTAGGTCTCCCGTCAGGCAGACATTCTCACAGTTCCTCTTCATGATTTGAGCTTGTGTTGTGTTTGGATAGTTTGAGCAGTCTAACAACAATATTAATAACAGACATTTATGATTTGAATGCGCCTTTTTAAACTCAACTATAAAGTCATGTTTTATCAGCAAAGCGCCATATTTACATATCGGTAATCTCAAAGTTATTGCATTACATAAGATTTAGACCCTGTTTTCCGGTTATGGTTGCACTGTACTGTCTGTTTCTATGACATAAATAAATACCTGTGATATATGAAATATTTATACATTCGAAAGACAGCATTTCCTATTTTAGATATTTTATATTTCTGATCAATAAATTAACAAAGTACCTGAAACAATAGATCTTTTTCTTTTAGCAATACTCTTCCCTCAGTGAGAAAAAAAGAGCATAGAGCACTTGACATTTGAAATGAACCTGTCTGAGGAAAAGCTGACATTTTGATGAAAACTGTGTGAGAAGAATCAACCTGACTGACAAGCGTTCACTTCAGTGTTGGTGGAAGTCTTTCAAGAATAATTCAACTTTACTGGCCCCTTAGTGGAATAAAAAATTCCCCGGAGGGTTTCACAAACCACACTGTACATGCTCTAAAAACTAGTAGGAATATTTATGTGCCACAAACCTACCAAATTTGGACAAATCTAGACATTAGGCATTACAAAATACAAAGAACTCCTGGAGAAAAATATAGTGGAAACTCCTCCCAACCTTAAAGAGTTGGGGTAAAAAGTCCTACTTTACTACCAGTTACATTGCTCACCCTCAGAGAAGTAAAGCAGGACATCCATCCATCCTTCCAGCACAGAGCAAACACCTGGTCCAGGTGTGGTTTTGAATAATGCCACCACTGTTTTGAGTCTATTTGGTCAGTGTCTCTGAGAGGAGAACAAGCAGCAGCTCCCCACTCACGAAAGACATAAATACATCTGCTTCTCGAACCCACTCCACACAAACCTGCTTCATTTTACAAGGATCCTCTCCTCATAATCAGCGTGCTTCAGCGGGTAAACACCTTGCTCTCCCGCTCTTCAGTGCAAGTTTGAGCTCCGCATGTCCCGTCCACACGTAGAACTACTCATCCAGATCAAACGGAATTTTGCAAAATGCCCTCACAAAAATTGTGCTTGTGATTGTGATCATCGACCTGGATCCCCGGCTGCACAAACAAAAACCTGCCCAGGTGCTCTTGTGACCTCCAGAGAACTGTGCGTATGACAGGAATAAATAATAAATAGGACATCTGGGGGTTATTTACAGAGGTGAGCTATTTATAGAAAGGAAATCAATATGAAACATGACAGCTACGGCCGTGAGTTAATTTATAAAAAGGTGACGGGATAATGCCCTGTTCCTGCTGAAGTGGAGACTTGTAGGTGCATGTCTTAAAAGAAAAACTGTAAATGCGAGCGTAAGATGGAAATAACAAAAAGTCCCAAGTAAACACTGTAACGAATAATGAAGACTCGTGGCCCTAACTCTGTCTAAACTTCCCATCGCTTTACATCATTGCTTTTTTTTTTATTACTTATTACTTTCAACTAGTAGATCTAAAAGACCCGCCTTTCCTCTCAGGAAAGGTTAGCAGCTAGGAAACATCACACCTAACACAGGGAGTTTCAAAATAAAAGGTCCTCATGTCAGGAGTGAGCAGTAGTAGAATAATTTCTGTGTGTTTGTGTGTGTGTGTGTGTGCGTGCGAGGTTATCATCCTCTGTGCTGTCCGTTGGTTGCTTCCATCTCTACTCCTGGAATCAGTCCCACTCTCTGGTCTGGTGTGGGCTAAACACCAGAGCAGCTCCATATGGCAAAAAAACAAGCCACAGAAAAATCAGTGTGAGTCAGACCTGTGCCAAATAGTATTTGCAATTAATTCTTTGGTCTCCAATAAGATCTTCCACTTGTTGCCACCAGCTATCTATTTAATATTTCTTTTTGAATTCCTTGCAAACACCAGTTGTTTGTGTAAGTGTGTGCACAGTGAGTGTGTTGTGTATGCGTGCGTGTCTCAGTCATCCCGGCAGGTCGGCAGGTTGACAAAGGTGAAGATGTTGTACTCGATGAGGCAGGAGAAACACACGAAGATGGAGTAGAGGATGAGACACATGAAACCCAGACGTTTGTTCAGCGTCCAGTTGTTTAGGTGAACTCCCAGGACCTACAGCAGAGGAGAGGAGGAGAGCTCATCAAAACTGTGCTATGAGAAAGAAAGAAACAGAAACTGTCCATTCAAAAACTCACTGTCATAAACACAGATGCCAGCAGGAGCCCCACAGAGAAGATGAGTCCTTTGCTGTTTAATTTGATCTGCAAGAGAACAGGTGAGACATTATTAATGCAACGATCATCAACCTAAAGGGAGTCCACACAGGAAGCAGTTTGGTAATCACAGTTTTGCAGCTAAAGGCTGGTTAATAGCAGCCATTCCAGGTCCTGGATGCCCAGGGACCCTTTAATGTGTTGATAATCCTGTCAAACATCATGTACTGGACTACCTACATATCACACCTACAGGACCTGCTCAGGCATGAAGCTCCTGGTGCACAGGTTTTATGTGATGTTGATGCCAGAGGAGATTTCTGGAATTGTTAAGACAACAGAGCACTGACTTTTGCACACTATTTATCTGTGAAGTTACCTGGTCTCCCACATTGAATAATTTTACAAACTGATTCAAATCATATTCAGTGAACTCTTTAGAGACATTGTTTCACAAATGTTTGGAAAGGCAGACTGCATGGTTATATCACTTTTGTAGACCACAGGCTATTAAAGATTAGGTGCAGCTTTGTCCATATAATGTGTGTCCAGCAAATACAGCATGTCCTCAAAAGTAAAGTTCAAGTTGGAACCTTCTCCCTGACTTTCTGTGATCGCTGCACGTCACTGCTAGTCCCCTCCTGTGTGGAGATCCCTAAACACATTGTTGGTCACTATGAGGGGACTTGGACTCTAGACTTTAGCAACAGATCCTAAAACTTAAGGGCTACAGTTCTAGAAGTGAATGTCCTATAGAAAGCATTTTAAGGATTCAAATAAGTCACGTAGCTATGAGCTGAATCAGGACCATGACAAGATTTGTTCTGGTTCAAAAGATGAAGGAAAACAAAAAGGCACCATTGTAGTAGTTTGCGTTATGGATCTGTATTAAAGTTCAGTCTAATTATCACAATCGTACAGGGCTTCGTTCCAGCCTCCACCAATCAGTGATGTTGCTGTTTCAGTTTAGGATTGTGGGTAAAGTAGTATTTCTCTGCAACACTGTGAATAAAATATGTTTCTGTTGAAACAAGGCTGATATCAGTGTGACCTGGTCTCACAGTGCCATAGCTTATAATGAGTCTGGTAAACATTATGGCTCATAATCAAAATTATAATCAGAATCTAAATGGGCTGTTTATTTAAATAGCCTCACTGTTGGGTTCTACGCGGCACTTAATTACTGAAGCCTGTTGTGATTAAGTAGCAGACATATGGACACAGATATGAGATAAATAAGAAAATGTGCTTTAAGGATTTACATTTTCCTGTAGTCTCTATCAGCTCTTATGTGTAACAGTAACAGTAGTGCAGGTTAATAAGATGCTGGTTTACAGCATTAACTTTCTATTTAAGGTTGTAATGGTAAATGGTAAATGGCCTGTATTTGTTTAGCGCTTTACACATCCAGTCATCCACCCATTCACACAGTTTTGTCTTCCACAAAAATCTCAGGAACGAACTCGATACAATAACACAAAACGATAAAGCTCTCTCTCTGACTGTGAAGTGGCTCAGGGGGTAGAACCTCATCTACTGATCAGAAGCATTTAGGCATGAAAAAAAGTGCTTTGTTTGAACGTGTGTGTAATCGGGTGAATGAGGCTTGTAGTACAAAGCACTCCGACTGCTCAGTTAGAGCAGATCTACTTAACATTTACCATAGATCCAGCAGTCTGAGCCAGAGTCTGTTTTAGCCGTGTACCATGAACTGGTTGCCTGTACTAAGAAGGACTTTGACTTGTCCAAGTCACTTCAGGGTTAACCCCAGGTTTTCTCTACTCTGTAGACCTCTGCATGGGGATCAGGAGGGTCGAAAGATTTTAAGCAATGTTTAATGTCTCTGATTTCCAGCAGCAGTGATAAACATAGGTTCTTAGAAGTAGCTTTATCATTTGATTCACTTTATTAATCCCAGGTTTGTTTTTTGGCATCATTAATAAAATAAGCAGTAATAATACATAAGACAACTACAAAGTACTTGCTCACCTCATATCACATTTGTACACAGACCTATAATTCTGTTTTTGGTTAGTCATTAATATACTGCTGCTTGGGCTGTAGTTACATCATAAGGTTTTAAAAACTGAGCTATATAATGAACAGTGGTAACACAAACAGAGAGAGGTCGACAGTGATCACTGACTTTTTTAGAGGCTTGTTCAGATTAAATAGAACAAGATACAAAACATGTCAAAAACACAACAGGCTTAATAAACACAGAGTAGTTTCGACCTGGAAGCAGTGATGAAACATCAGGTCATCACTTAAAGACCATCAATACCTGTCAATGTGCTTTATAAATGATTTTTCCAAGTTATTGCATATGCTGTCTTTCAAATTGTTGTAGATCATGTTTGCATGTGTTGTTCTATCATGTCTTAGCTGATATTTATACATCAGCTGAGTTTTACTATCTGATGGACACAAGCTACTGCACGGCATATCTTCCTTTGCAGCAAATAGGTAAGATTTTCAGTTTCAGTTTTGAATCCTACTGAAACATAATTTCCCTCCACTGCACTACTGGGAATGTAGCAGAGATGTTAGCAGCAGCAATAAACTTGTTGGAAAAATGCCACTCATCATGTGGGAGTCCACCATAACAGAAAACCTTTTGTCATATTAAAGCTGTCTTCTTCTGCAGCATCTGTCCTTGTCTCTGAGAGAGAGGTGCTGCTACTGGTTCATGTTGACGCTCTCTTCAGTGACTTGAAATCCTGCATGAAGGTTTCAATTTCAGATGCATTCACCCAGACCTATCATCCATTTTGGATTAGAGAAAGACACTCTACTTTTGAAACTAGGCTTCAACTTTCCTTTTGGATAAAGTTTATACTTAGGGCTGAATCAGAAACATCAGTTATGCTCCACTTCCCTTTTTTCACTCATTATGTCAGTACATTACATTACATTAAATGCCACTACCATGCACAGGTAGTATTCTGATTGGTTGAATAGTGGTCCAGAACAACAAAGTTTACAGCATTGAGGAGAGACATGCAAACTCCCCAAAAGATCAAATAAGCAGCACGAGAAGGAGAGACAAATTCACTTCATTATAAAGATTCATTTTGACTCTCTATCTGGCCTCTCAAGGACCAACAACAGTACAAAATGAGCAGCACACAGGCTGTTTGTTCCACATATTGTTGATGAAATGCTCAGTTGAAAGTAAAAAAATGACAACTTTCTGATGAAAGTCTGCAAAGCTCTGTGCACGACCATAATTAAAGGGTCGATGAGCTTTGTGCTACTTACATCAGAGCCATAGTTGATAGCCAAGGTCTTTAGAGCCCAGGGAAGACCGAGCCCTACCAGGATGTCGAACACGTTACTGCCGATGGAGTTGGACACCGCCATGTCACCCATTCCTGAACACACAGACATAGACGGAGTTGTGAATCAGCAAAAATAGAAATCAAAGAGATCAGGCAGACAGCGTGAAAGGTAAAGAGAGTGGGAAAAGAGCAGACAGGAAGCAGGTTGGTCTGACGTAGGTGGACACGGGCGGCATTCAGTGCAGCTATCTGTCCAAATGACTTTCCAAAAAAATGTCAAAGCGATGAAGGCGACAGCAGCTACACAGTGGAGGATGGACGACTAAACGGTGGCGAGTGTCTCTCCTGGTGAGCCCCCTACATACACACAGACAGAGCTGTTTAAATATTTGATGACAGGAGCAAGAATAAACACAGATGAAAGGACAGAGGAAAGGATCTGGCGGCCTGTCTTCCCGCTCTCTTGTCATCACAGGGAAAAAGATGACAGGCCAGGATCTTTACCTCCCCTCTCCATCTCTGTCATCTAGTCCCCTCTCCAGCTCTTTGATAGCGGCTTCACTTTGATTCTGCTGTTTGCTCTGTGTGTGCATTTTAAATGACAGCTTGGTAACCTGTCATTTTGCGTGTTTGTGTTTGATTACCTTGTCGTGCCACTATAAGACTGGCCATGCAGTCGGGGACGCTGGTGCCAGCTGCCAGGAATGTGATACCCATGATGACGTCTGGAATACCGAGTGTGAAGCCTATCACTGTTACCTGACACACAAAGACAGAGACACACTATCACTGGTTGTATTTTTAACAATCAAGAGTGCTGACAGAAAAATGGAAAGAAAGACTAGAACCCAAAACCAAAATGTTAAAAAGTTCTTTTTTAACTTAAAGATAAACCAGGAATGACACATGCACTTACCAATTTTCTTGCATGAATAATGAAGAATCTTTTGAAGAGCTCTCACACTAATTACGTGATTCTGTAGCTCTAAAGAGCTTTTCAAACCCCATTAGGATTAGATTAACCCCGTGTTTCCAGAATTTATCTAATTGTTCCAGACAGACTTTTTAAACTTGGAAAGTAGACTGCAATAACTACCTGTGGCTGACAACTGAGCACATTAATGAGCTCGATTGGCGTAGCTCTGCACAGAAAATGACTTTTACACTCTTAACTCAGTTAAACTGGGAGTGGATCATATTGAAATCACCTCACTTCCCCAAAACAAATAAATCCTGTGTAAACGGAGCGTCCTAGCATCTAGACAGAATAAAAACCTAACAAAAACAAAACAACGAGCTAACTAGCTGCTAACGAATCCAATACTTTACCACAGTTGGTTAATCTAATAACAGCTTTTTTAAGTTGAATGTCAGACTAAAATTGCTGAATCATGTTTAGCATATCAATATTTCGCATAGCTCGAAAACCCCCAAAACAACTGTAAAGCTAAAAGTTTTCAAGCTAATGTTCTGCTAAATGCATTCTTGCAGTTAGTAGTCAGGTCAAAATAGGGAACATGTTCGATTCACTATAGTGTTAAATTATTCTCTGTACTATTCAGTGGATTCACAGGGAATTATTCATCCATTCATTTATTTATATATTTGATTTTCATGTTTCTGACCACCTTTCATTTTTATTTATACAATTATAAAGTATCTATTTACAACAATAGCTGTCAGCAGCATAATGAGCCAACATGTTTTAAAACGGCACATTTTCACATTACATGCATATACTCCAGTCATGTCACCTTCCACTGATTAAAAAAACACAATTCATAAACTGCCTAAAGATTAAAACGTATTTATTCTGCTTCTTGGAATTAGAAGTCCTTATTTGATAGAAAACGTAATTTATCTTTACTTTGAGTCCTGCGGATGAATGGATATTCACTTTAGCTTATCCGCTGCCTTGGCTTTTCATAGTCTGCTATTTTCAGCACAATCACAAAGACTGCTGGTTTTTGGGTGTTTTTTTCTGGATTATTGTGGGCCCTTTACCTCAGAATATAAAGCACCTTGGGGTGACTGCTGTTGTGATTTGGTTCTATAAAAAATAAATTTAACTGAACTGAATCAGTACAGAGTGAGTGTCTGTGGCCAAAATACAAACTGGGAGATGGTTCCACAGAAAAAGGGCAGTAAGCCTCCAGTCTAAGACCCACGATATACTGGGTCTGATCATTAAAGACTTTGTAGGTGAACCTTCTGGATCATCAATGAATTACAATAGTCCAGCGTAGAAGTAATAAATTCATGCAACTGGTTTTTAGCATTACTCGGAGACAGGATGTTTCTAATTGTAGAGATATTACCCAAATGCAAAGCAGTCCTACATATTGGTTTAATCATATTTGTTTACTAATTCTGGTCAAAAATCACTCCAAAATTCGTCCCAGTGTTGCTGTAGGCCAAGGTAAATGGATTGGTTCTCATATAGCACATGTTGTATACAAGCGCTTTTTTCTATGCTTAAGCTGAAATGCTTCAACAATCAATCTGCTTGGTTGATTTTTATACTGTAGATACTGTAGCAGGAGCTTCATATACAGAAGCAACAAATGCCTCACAAAGAACAGCATCATGGACAGCTCCGTAGGTAGAGTGGTGGCCCCATGATCGGAAGATCGGGGGTTCGAATCCACTGAACGGCTACCCTGAGGTACCCCTGAGCAAGGTACTGTCCCTACACACTGCTCCCCAGGTGCCCAATGGCTGCCCACTGAGTGAATGGGTTAAATGGAGAGAGGAATTTCCCCACGGGGATCAATGAAGTATACATTATTGTTATTATATTTCAGTACAAGTCTGCTTTCCCCCCATCATCACTTACCATCCAGACCATGATGTAGGAGAAGCTGGCGATCCAAAGTGTGGAGGCAACAAAAGACAGCATGAACCAGTTCTCCCAGCGAGGTGTGGAGGAGTTGGGGATGGTGAAGAATAGCAGCAGGGCCAGAGGCCAAGCCAGCAGCCACTTCAGTTTATTAAACCCACCCGCTGCAGACACACAGAGCGAGATACAGCATTTAGACTGGGTCGAGACTGACACACGAGCAGAGAGAAGAATGATAGAAAAGACAGAAAAGACAAGTGTTTAAAACCGACATTGCTTTCTAGCAGGAGGAATAATTTACTGTCCAACGAACGCATGTTTTTAAACTCCGATCTATCACTGGCTAAAGATCTGATTATAGTCCAATATGAAAGCACACAAGAATGAAGGCATAAGTTCACCTGTGTGTGAAATTTAAAACTTGATTTAGACTACTCGTTGGCACCTGATTAACAACAGATTCTTACAGAGGAAGGACGCTGAACGATAATTAACAAGCAGAGTGATGTTTTTTCTGTTCTCCTCTTTTGTTTAAATGGGATAACGCTATTTTAATCAAATGAATCGCATCCCTCTCTGAACATGATTGAGTTTGTCAGTAAAATTATCCCGTCACTTCTTACGTTGGTCTACTTTTTATGATTACGCTTTTGTGTTTCACTCTTTTTGTTCATCGTTTTAAATAAATCAAGCCTGGAGGTGGAAACTTAAGTCAACTTAAACAAAATTAGAAGTTAACTGGGATACAAGTTTTTGCATGACTTTTTATTTTAACAACAAGTAAACAGATTATGAGAAAAAGTGTTTTAGTATGAAAGTATGAAACTTAGCTTAGCATAAATATTATAGCAGGTTTCTTTCAATTGTCCCTGAACCGAAACCTGTTTTCTCTGAAAGTAATTAACAATTCTCAAGAAATAAAACTAAACATTTGCAAAGAGGTCTGCTGATCCATGCTTCTAGTCGTGTTAGAGAAAACAGTGGTTAGGGACCGCGGGACGACCAAAATGATTGAAACTGGGTGCAATAAAGTTGCATCCTTGTTGAGTTTGAAATGGTTTCTTCAAAGATGGGGACCAAGTCTGCGACCGCTCGCTGTGATTTGATTGAAAAACACATCACTCTTAAAAACAAGAGTCATCTAAAGGTTTACCTGGGCATTGGAATGGTACGTAAGGTCCCTCTCCTTCCTCCTCTTCTTCCTCTTCATCATTCTCATTGTTCTCGTTGTCCTCATTATCCGTCTCATTGCCGGCCTCTCTGTCATCGCGCCGAACGCCGACGCCCCTTTCAGCTCCAGACAGCCCATTTTCTATGCCCCACCTGCCCCCTCCCTTCACGGGAACCTCAGAGTCACCGTTAGTCAAAGTCCGCGTGTTGATTAGACGCTGCCTCTATACGCCGCCACCGCAAACACAAGAAGCACATTCACAAACACACAAACACAGAAGGGAGACTGGTCAGATCTGATGCATGAACAGCCCCATTCTCCCTTCAGTACTAAACAGCATTCATGAACATTTTAGCTGAATTTTAGCCACATGCTCAAGAAATTCAGTTTCAGAGAAATGTTATTTTTATAGGGAAGGCCTTTTTATATATTCTGCCCTACAGCCCTTCTGCTAGGAGACTTTTATTTCTGTTTGTCAAACAGGTGAAAATTTCATATAAGACGATCTTTACCTTACAATACATCTTTAACCTCCTTGGACCTGGGCCTGATATCCATTTACGAGGACATTATACTGCTACTGTTCTATTGAAATTTTAAACTATTTCTATTTAAAATTTTCTTAGAAACAAAAATCAGGTAAAAAAAAAAGAAATCTGGTAATTCTTTATTTCTACATTCATCAGGTCCCAATATGCCCAAATATCAAAGAGAAATAAAAAAACGATTTTGGGTCGTAGGAGGTTAAATGACTGTTGTGAACTCATCCTATATAAATGTACTTTATTTTAACTCGTATCAGAATGAATGTAAAAACAACAGTGGATGTCTAAGTGGTGTTGACACTTGACAGCGGGGAGGTTAAGCTGATGTTCACGGTTCTCCTGCTCTGTCTCTGACTTTCTTGCTTGCAGCCTTTCTGGGCCTGTTTTGTTCTTTTGCTGACAAAAGTAAAAGTTAAACAATAATTTGTTATATAAACTGCAGCCCTGAGAAGATAATCACATTGTGAGTGAACATGAGCTCCTGTGCATTTGCACAAAACAAATCTCCGTCTTTCCTGCAGAGGTATAATATTGTGAGGGCCAGACTCCTCTACTAGAGAGCTTAAGATTGTACTGTAGTTGTTAACATTCACCTACTTTAAGATTCAACAGAAAATATTATATTCGTTGTTTTTCTTTAGAGTCATTTAGGTTTATCTCAAGTTCCACTTCTTTTATTTGACCTTCAAGGTCCAACATCTCAGTATGATTTTTATTTGCTTTGTTTTTAGGGTAGCTTATCATCTGTCCACGAATAAAAACCTTAAAGGCTTCCCATCTTACTGAGGCTGTAGTTTCGGATTTATTAAAGTAAAAATAGTCATCAATATTTTTGCCTACGTATTCCAAGAATTTTTGATTGTGCAGCCAGCGTGGTTTTAAACGCCAAATAGGATTACGTTTAAAAGCTGTTGTACCTGAGAAGTTAAGCGTGGTTAATGAGTGATCAGATATAAGCACACTTTTATATGAAAAGCTGTTAATTCTGGAGATAAGAGAGTTTGAAATAAGAAAATAATCTATGCGACTGCGACTATTATGACTGGCTGAATAGCAAGAGTATTCTCTCCCTGTTGGATTTTTTAATCTCCATATATCTTTAAGATTCAATTCAGACATAAAGTGTTGTATGGCTTGTCTAGATTTTGGATGGGAAGAGTCTAAACCTGATGATCTATCAAGCTTAGGCTCTAGGGTACAATTAAAGTCCCCCCAACAATTATCTCAGCGTGGAGGGCTGCAATAGAGAGGAATAGATTGTTATAAAAGCTGGAGTCGTCGATATTGGGGCCATATAAATTAAAATTAAGTCTTGGTTCAGCACGGAGCATTGTAGGATAATGAATCTCCCTGCAGGGTCCAAGATGGTTTTTTAATACACATGGGCACTGATTTATGAATGAGTGTTGCCACTCCTCTAGCATGTGTTGAGAAGTGGCTAAAGAAAGCCTGACCTGACCATCTCCTCCTTATCCGGGCAATTTCACTTGCGAGTAAGTGTGTTTCTTGAATAAAGACTATCTTTGGGTGATATTGTTTAATTCTATCCATTACTCTTTTCAGTTTAATACACAACATACATTGCGTGTTTATACCCCAGTCTATAAGCTATGGTTCTACTTTTTCTTAAAGCGACAGATGTAGGGGCACCACCGTGGGGGCCGTCAGGTGTCACAGCGGTCTGATGTGAGGCAGGATTTGCACAGATCCTCAGTGTGGTAAGTATTGACTGTCAAACATGTCATTTGATAACTTCACCAGCACCTACACCTACTGATAATTTCGGGGGAAAAACTGCGTATAATTCAAAATATTTGACTGAAGAGACAAGGCTGTTTTAAAAACAGAGACTGATATTCAAAGCGGCTTATAAGAGAAGGGGACCCTGGACACAGATGATAAGAAGGCCCACACACTTAAGCATCTCGGGTCATAGAGTGTATATACTGATGGATGCCTTTGTTAAAGAGGTCTTGTGAAGGCCCAAGCGGAGCAATTTGTGCCCCAATCTTTGTGTGGTGAGACTGGACATAACATGAGGTAGGCCTGCTCTAAACCACTGCCTGTTTTATCATAATTTCTGACTCTATTAAAAGGACTTAATTTAAAAGAAACAGAAACAAAACAAAACAACTGAATTTGTCTCAAAACTTTGATCTTAAAGTCATGAGGGAACTGTTTATTGAATTATAAAGATCATAGATCCAAAGGAGCTGATGGCTGTTTTCAACATAATACAGTACAGCTAATTTAGCAATCTGAAGAGCTGCCCTCTGTTGGCCATTTGAAAGAATGCAGGTTTACAGCACGTCTGCACTGGCTTGACTTTTCAGACCTAGAAGCTGCATCCATCTTTTTATGTACAGACTATATCACAGACTGAAAGTGACACAAAACAACTGCAAATCAAGCTGTCTTTTTGTAATTATCTCACTGGTACCCCCCATGGCTGTCTGTCTGTCATTATCACCGCTGTCATTGCCTTATGCAAATATGTTCACAATGCAACAGCTTGACAGGCAATGAAACTCTCTGTGCAGACAGAGAAAAACATTCTGACTGATTAATGCGCACACGGAGAGCTGCAATGGAAACCAAATCACAGACAATACAAACTCTTCAACTACTATGGCAAATAAGATGCCATGTGATTCTTTCTGTTCCAAGCTTGCCCATCACATCCTGAACAGCCCTTTGTAAATGTAGCATAGCAGGCCATGCCTAGAATCCTCAATGGTGGAGCTGATTTGTAGGCCAGGGACTGTGTACAGCTCCAGATTACTTTGCTAAAGAGGCTGTCTGAAACGCTTTCCCCTTGGAGAAAAACACAACGCAGTCTGCTTCAAATTGGAAATGTCAGCAATCTCTTTTTTTCCCTCTTTTTTTCAATCAAAAGTGTGGCTGAGGTGCACCTGCGTGTGCCGTTACCTCAGTGATGAGCATTCGTGAGGCCATGGTGAGACGAGTTCTGGGGGAGAAGTGGCTGGTGATCATGATCCTCATGCCGGCCTCGGAGAAGGACAACTGGTGGGGGTACGCTGACAGCAGCTCGTCTACCATTAACACAGATGTCTTCCTGTGGTGGTTTGCTGTGGGGCACATACATGGAATACGAGCTATACTATTGAAATAAACCAGTAAGATTTTCCTTAGAATTACGACTGCAAAGAGCAGGAAGCAGAGACATTAGGTCAATCAGAAGTTCCACATTACACGTACAAAGTCTCAATAAAAATGTACCTTTCTTTAAAAGAACAGCAGTAGCATCACAGCCATCGTCCAGTTCTGTGTTATTTGCTGCACCGTTTCTCAAAGTGGTCGAGTTCTTCTTCCTCCTCCCCAGGAAACGGACAATGTAGGAATTCAGTCTGGAACAGAAGTCGGGTTAAAACCACACTTTGCTTGGTACAGCTGGGTCAAGTGATTGCTCTTTACGGCAGGTAGCCTCCCAATAGAGATAGATTGATCGTATTCAAAAATGATCTGTCAAGTACTATAAGCTGCTGTGTGGCACAGCCCACATAAAGAAATGTATAATTTCTATAAATCCCATTCATATAATACTGCTGCAGACATAAGGATAAATTATGTTACACGTGGGATGAGTTTGCATATCGCAGCGTAATAAATGACACAGATCACGGGTCTTATATTAAACTCATTAATATGCAAGAATTTAAAACATTTTGTATTTTTTGCTTGTAATATTGATATTCAGTAAACTTCCACTGTTTTCAATGAAATACTACAATGCATTTGAAACAGAGCATGATGTTCTTTTCTAGATAATATCCACATTGTTGTTGTGTTACTTAATATTTATCCGTATATCTGCTAAATTTACCAAAAGAAAAGATATTTATTATTATTATTATTATTATTATTTGTTTGTTGTTCATCTGTTTAAATAGACATTTTAATCCCAGGGATATCTTACATGTATACTTTTATCAATACTTATTTTAGTAACTGTTACTGTTGGGGTACATTACACTCCGGCACAGAGCAAAAGTTCATTGTTCATTTTTAAGCCTCAAAGTGGATGAACTGAACTTACTTCATGATCAAAATGTAGACAAAATACATCAGGATCAGCGTGAGAGCTTCCCACCTGGAAAAGACAGTTCGGATGCATTCATCATGTGTGTCACTGTACTGTGTAAGTGCCAGGTGTGTGCAAAGTTAATCAACGTGTAACTTACCAAACTACTTTTTCATCATATATGAACTGTAATAAGAGAGAGATGAAAATCTGAGAACCAGTATATCTAAGACATGAAGGCATAATTTCAGATGGAAAGAAAAAAAAAGAAACAATCAGAGTAACTAGAATATTTCTCCATAGAGGAAATCCAGTATGGAGCTTTTAAAGTATCTGATGTGTTACTATGTTAACCTTAAGGTGCTTCTTACCACTATAAGAGCAGAGATCGATAAGGTGTAGTAGACTGAGTCTCTGAGCAGAGGCCAGCGGGAGAGACGGATCGTCTGGAAGAAAAGACAGAGAGACAAGAGGACTGAGACAATTCTACAACTTACAGGAGCTCAGCTACACCTTCTTTTGTTCTACTGGGTAACACATCCCACAAGGTTCTCACTGCCATGCACTAATAACATAAGCCAAGCTCTTTGTGTGTGTGTGTGCATCTGTTTGGCATCTTACGTAACATGTAATCTAAATAAGAAAAAAAATCTTTCAAGTATGTTTCTCTTTTCCTAGTGGGATTACAGCAGTGAACAGGACACGTATCCTTTTCTGATTCAGGCAGAAAAGGTTTCCATCCATGGTTTTTAATCTAAACTGTGGCCTAAACAAACAAGTCACAGAGTGTGTGTACTGCACCGGCTAAAAATCAGCGGTTTATTCTGTACCTGCACAGCGAATATCCCGCACACTCCGATGATGCAGAGGATGTTGAAGACGGCAGATCCCACAATGGTGCCGACCCCGACGTCACCTTTAGTGATGAAAACTCCTGTGCAGAAGGAAAGGAAATCACTGATTACCACACATGGCAAGTCATCTGTCCACAGGTTACAGAGACATCCTGCTTGGTGCAATTCTTTGGTAATCTTAACGTACTTCACTGATCCACGACCCTTTGTCTAGCTGGTAACTACTGATGGCATTTACATAATAAGTTACTCTGTTTGCATGTGTTGTTGAGTTATAGAAGGATTTCCCTCCCATAGACTTTATTAGTGAGGGCTGCCCAGGTGTACTGCCAAGCACAAAAGCATATTTGGCAGCTTACTTTAACATTTTCTATTAATGTTTTGAATTGATTTACTCTCAGGCAGACTGCTGGCTTTTATTTTGAAAGTTTGGGTGCTGGTAACCTGCCGACCAGGCCTATCTTTCTCGAGTATTTTCTACTGGCTTGCTCACTGGCCAGGTCACTATTGTGGTAGAATTTATTACCATTCAGTTGGTTCCCCATATTGTGTGTCCAAGCCAAGTGATTGGCTCTCACTAACAAGAGGTAAAGGCTACAAATGGGAAGACACATTTAAAAACCTTTACTAACAGTATAGTAACATTTTGATGGCAATAAATATTACCCAGATAGTCCAGGGATTGACATCATACTATAGAACTTTAGGGTCTGCAAAACACTTACCATTCAGAGGAGGATAAAGAGGAGCTCTTTATCCTCTCGAGGATACTTGAGGGTGCATGGGAGTTTGCCCAACCAGTCTACATGTGTTTTGTGGACTTGGAGAAGGCATTCGACCGTGTCCCTCGGGCTGTCCTGTGGGAGGTGCTACGGGAGTATGGGGTGTCTGGCCCATTGTTACGGGCCATTTGATCCCTATACAACCGTTGCAAGAGCTTGGTTTGCATTGCCGGCAATAAGTCGGACTCGTTCCCGGTGGGTGATGGGCTCTGCCAGGGCTGCCCCTTGTCACCGACTCTGTTCATAATTTTTATGGACAGGATTTCTAGGCGCAGCCAAGTGGCGGAGGGCTTTCACTTCGGTGGCCTCAGAATCTCATCTCTGATTTTTGCAGATGATGTGGTTCTGTTGGCTTCATCGGGTGAGGGCCTCCAGCTCGCACTGGAACGGTTCACAGCCAAGTGTGAATCAGGGGGAATGAGGATCAGCACCTCCAAATCTGAGGCCATGGTTCTCAGCCGGAAAAGGGTGGAGTGCCCACTCCGGGTTGGGGATGAGTTCCTGCCCCAAGTGGAGGAGTTCAAGTATCTCAGGGTTTTGTTCGCAAGTGATGGGAGAAGGGAGCCAGAGATCGACAGATGGATTGGTGCGGCGGCTGCAGTAATGCGGACGCTGCACCGGTCCATCGTGGTGAAGAGGGAGCTGAGTGTAAAAGCGAAGCTCTCAATTTACCGGTCGATCTACGTCCCTACCCTCACCTATGGCCACGAGCTGTGGGTAGTGACCGAAAGAACGAGATCGCGGATACAAGCGGCAGAAATGAGCTTCCTCCGAAGGGTGGCTGGCCTCTCCCTTAGAGATAGGGTGAGAAGTTCGGCCATCCGGGAGGGGCTCAGAGTAGAGCAGCTGCTGCTCCACATCGAAAGGAGCCAGCTGAGGTAGTTCAAGCATCTGACAAGGATGCCTCCTGGGCGCCTCCTGGGTGAGGTGTTCCGGGCATGTCCCACAGGGAGGAGGCCCCGGGGCAGACCCAGGACACGCTGGAGAGATTATATCTCTCGGCTGGCCTGGGAACGCCCTGGGATTCCCCCGGATAAGCTGGAGGAGGTGGCTGGGGAGAGGGAGGTCTGGGCTTCTCTGCTTAGGCTGCTGCCCCCGCGACCCGGCCCCGGATAAAGCGGACGAAGATGGATGGATGGAAAACACTCAGTATTCAACACCATTGTTGTAACAACTGAGGAAAACAATTACAAAATCAAAATTTAAAATCAAATAGCCTTGCTGGCAGATCATTCTCAGCTTCAGTCTGAGACTTTAAGAGAGTCACAGTTGTTAGACACAGACAGATTTTATCATGTTAAAATTGCTCACTGGAGTGAGTAATCACCAGGACTGATGACGCTTGCTGCCTAGCTCCCACGTTAGCATTATGATTTTATTATTAGCCATAGCTGCTAGCTGCTACCTTAATGATAACGTAACAGATGGGTAACTGCTAATAGTTAAATGGCTATATAAATGATGACAATATATGTGTTGGACAGGTTAGCATTTATGATAACTGTTTAATACTTCAGCATTGTTGAAATGGGCACGTTACTGACCTCAAGAAGTTCTTAACAAGACCAGAGTGGCAGTCTTTAAAATGCCTCGCAAAGTTGTGCTGTTTCCTATGTGTTCACAATGAAATTGAAATCGTGCATTCAGCTGTCTGCAGTGGTTCTGCAGGAAGTTCTGTGTTAGCAGGAGGAGGTGAAGGTGGCACTGTTGCAGTTGAGATCTAACCCAAGGAATTTTTAGTATCAATTAGTATCAGAGTAGCATATTTTGACAGCCCTGCTGCCAGTGTTAGCTATGGTACTTCAAACCCACCAAACCAAAACAAAAAAGACCCTCTTCTCTCAACCCAACCGGTCGCAGCAGATGGCCGCCCCTCCCTGAGCCCGGTTCTGTCCGAGGTTTCTTCCTGTTAAAAGGGAGTTTTTCCTTCCCACTGTCACCAAAGTGCTTGCTCATAGGAGGTCATTTTTTTTCTCTGCATGTATTACTGTAGGGTCTACCTTACAATATAAAGCAACTTGAGGTGACTGTTGTTGTGATTTTGCGCTGTATAAATAAAATTGAATTGAATACTCTATTAGAGTGGAGTCAGATGCAAAGGATTCCAGCTGGAGCTGTAACAGTGGTAATATCTGCCCAATATCTGGATTAAAAACTGGCAACAATGTTATATTAGCTAGATAATAAGCCAACAGAATAAGCTAATGTAAGTTGAAGTAAAATATCAACTCAGTATAAGCTCAGATGTGAAAATGTGTAAACACCGTATTATAGTTGCTATAAATTATCTCTAAATATGTATTTACTTTTAACCCTTTTATTAACAAATTATTGCCTCACTATTAGTATGCTATTATCAAACTGTACTATGAATGGCTGTACAGCTAAATTATATCTAAAATGTGTGTGTGTGTATGTCTCTGTCTCACCAATGACAGAGGTAAACAGTTCAGGCGCTGAACTGCCTGCTGCCATGAAGGTCGCTCCTGCAACATCCTCACTCAGATGCAGACGCTGGTGGACGAGGGGAGAGAAAGTTATTCTAAGCATCACAGCGTGGCAGTGAGAGTGTGTGATGTTAGTGCAGCAGCAGTGCAGTTACAGTCTACAATGTTTGTTACCTCGCATATCTTCTCTAGCGAGGGGACAAAGTAGTCATCGCACACCAACGCCAGAGCGTAGAACATGTAGACTGCCTGCAGATGCCCAAAGACACACAGGTGAAGAACAGTATACACTTACAACTGGATAAAACCCCTGCTGAAAAAACAAAAACAAAAAAAACATTTGTGCTCTATTTTCTTTGTTTGCAGTTTAATCTCAGCTTCTGTTGTCATTTACTTGATGTTTGCTGAGACTAAACCTGAAAGCCCAGCAAAGAGTTACAAGCAGATAAAATAATACACCGACATACTACTAAAACTCATCAGTTTGCCAAGGAACTGTTGGAAAATGCGCTTACTTACGTATTTAGCAATACTCTGCTTCCAGACTTCAGCCAAAGACTGGTGGGGCTTAGTAAAGCATAAAAGCTGAAAGTAGCTGGGAACAGCTGGTCAAAAGTTCAGCAATAATCTTCCCAGAACAGTCTAGCACATCTGTACTTCTGTAAAACATGCTTGAATTTATTTCTATGGAACAAGGCTAAACCTTGCCATGTTTCTAGGCTGCTAAACACTTATGTCAGTTTGCAATTAAATCACTGTTGTGGACCAACTACGTCACTGTTAACCAGAAGACGTTATGAATTTATATAGCAGCAGCTTCAAAAATTCATTGAAAATTTCTGAGCATGTAAATGGCAACAGATTTACAAGTTCATCAATTTATCGCAGGTAATGTCACAGGTATCCCAAACAGACTGCATGTAAATGCATGGAATGGGCAAGTTGACCCACATTCAATTGCAAATTGAACGCAGAGTGACTCCATGATACTGAAACTTGCAACTAACTGCAAGCAGTTGCAGATGTGGTCTGGTCTTCATAGCTGCTGAAAGTAAAGTAATTAAAAAAACAAACAACCACAGATATTTTAGCATTTTTTTTTCAGCAGTACCTTTCATCCCGCCCTGATACACAACAATCCTCTGCCATCTCACAATCTCTTTGCTTATGCATTGATATACCAAAGAGTACACTGATACAGAGTTCACACAATTGTGTTCCCAGACTGACAAAAGTTGGGAAGAGCATGAGAAACTACTGTAAAAAGACCTCAAAGCACACCATAAACCAGCAGTTGTGACATCATTGTCAACAGACAACAATGGCAGGCATAAACTGTTACATGAAGGCTAACTAGCAAAGTCCTCCTTCTTCTTCTAATGAACTTCAGTGTTTCTAGCGGTACAGTACTATCCTGGCAGCCCGTGTGGTCTCAGTAATTCCCCACCAGGCTAAGTAAAGAGGTTTTTGTATCTTCAAGGCTAAAATCATTAAGCTGAATCCTTCAGTCTTCTGCCTACACAACATTATCTACCTTTCTTATCTCCATGTGGATCAGAAACCAACCTGCCTGAAAAACCCCCACAACCTTAATGATCCTGTTGAATTGCATGATGCAAATACATAGCAGGGGTAAACACTCAGTTTGTGAGTTTGAAAGTTTCAGAGATGTGATAAAAAAAAATTAAGACCCATTCAAATGGAAGACAATCTATTTTAAAGAATTTAAAGCCACTGAAAAGAAGAAAGCTAGAACTACTTTGGATATGCAACAACTTTAACTCCAAAACATTCAAGTGTCCATGTAGTGTGCTGCAGGTGACACTCACGCAAAGCACGTGCAGACCCACTGCTCCTTCCACGCGCTGCTTGTTGGTGAAGTAATCCCTGGGGAACTCATGGATTGCTGCAGCGAGAGAGGGGGAAAAATCACTTACACATGCTGAAACAGTGAAAGGAGGCAAAATCTGAGCAATTAAATACTGACTGTAGCTCAAGGAAGATACCCTGAGGGCCTCATGAAATAGCTCATCAGCCAAACAAAGACAAATAAACATATAAATACAATCAAACACAGATACAGGTCCAAAGGATGACTGAATTTAATATCTAATAGGGAGGGAAATTAAGAAAAAGAAGTTGCACTACAGTGACTTCAAACAAAGGCAACTGTTGAAATCCAAAGATAAACACAAGGCAATTGAACACTCATTTCCCATGATCGGTTCCATCGTTTTTAAGTCTAGCTTTTGTCTGTTAGCGATTTGCAATTAAAGTCAGAGAAGAATCTCAAATGGCAATTATGAATAAATATACCCACAGGAAGGAAAACGACAAAGAAATTTTTAAAGCACACAAAAAAATTATAACAGCACGCATGCGGTAGTCTGTTTTTCATTTTAAAGTAACTCACTTTAACCGTTTCCTCTTGGTTTAAGACTGTGGTCATAATTATAATCATTCATGGAAATGTGAATTGAGAAAAGCAGTCATTATACTTGACTGTTGAAAATTCCTAATAACTAGTGCCACAATATGTTTAGTACAGGCAAACACTTCAAACCTAAAAATTCAGTACAAGCTCTTTCTCTTTCTTTCTAATGAAAGATGTTTGCTTCATAGGTTTATGATCTTCTTTTTAAAATGAAAACGCTTCATTTTTCTATCGTTGCCCAAAATTATACCGGTATTACCGTGAACGGTATGATATGGCCCAGCCCTAACTGCAACAAGTTAAAAAAGACTAAAATCAAAACTTCAGCCTGTAAATTAAAGGGTGGTAGAGCAGCCCAAGATTTTTCCTCCAGTGCTCAATTTGCATGTACTTGAGTAATAATGGATTGCATTTATAAGTGGATATACGGAAGCCATTTAACACCATTAACAAAACTTAACAAAACTTTCTTTTTAAACTTTGTTAAATTTGACATCGCTCTCCACTACCAGTTTGTCCCAGTATCCCACAGGGCTCTGTTCTGGGCCCAGGTCAACTTATAGAATCACAATAAAGCACTAAACACTAAATCAGTAATGTGTGGATATGCATTTGTTCCTATGAAATGTATATCCACAGAGTTTCTTTATAATTTGCTAGGAAAACAGGAAATAGGTGCAGTGACAATTCTAAAGAGCTTGAAAGTACACATTTGTTTGTTAAGACAGCACAAACTCTCTTAGGCAAGCTTTCTTGTAATTTCTTTAAACCACAGGTCTCAAACGCACGGTCCGGGGACCACTTGCGGCCCACATCACCCCTACTTGCGGCCTGCATATTGACATGAAGAAAGATAATGCAATTTGGCCCTTGAATTTTTTTGTTAGGGTGTATTTGTTTATTGTTGAGTGCAAATTATTTAATATGAAAGTAATATAAGCAGCAAGCCCAAACATGTTAAAGTGTTAGTTCAGTAAGAGAGTCATTCGTAAAGAAAACAATTTTCACTAGGAGTCAAAAACTAATGTGTACACTTATGTCTGCATTTTTTTTGTTAAATACGAACAAAATGATAGCAGAAGTGCTGCCACGTGTCTGGCAGCACTTGTCTTGAAAGTAAGAAGAAAAACTGGATCATGAAGGGACTGGAAGCCAATGCAGGAAGCCCGGAAGGCCGGTCTTTCCTTTAAGTTGAGCTGCTGCATTTTGTATAGCCTCCAGGCAAGAAGTAACGACTGATCAGGGCTGACATCCAAAGAATTACAATAGTCTAACTGAGAAGTAATGAAGGTGCCTTTTACTGTCTCAGAGTAACATGGAGGGAAGCAGTACTTCACCTTACTGAGAAGGCTTCATTGAAAAAAGTTTGTCTTAACAACAGAGCTAATCTGTTGATCAAATGCTAGAATGCTACGCTCTACGGTGTCAAATGCAGCAGTCAGATCCAAGAACACAAGAATCAACAGTTAAAAGCAGGACACTAAAAACTCTTAAAAGGTCTGTTTCCATGTCATAATATGAAACCAGACTGGAACTTCTTAGAGATTTCAAATAAATCCAGGCATGGTTGTAGTTGGTTAAAAACTACCTTTTTAAAGTCCTTTGGTAGAAAAGGGGATTCAGAAATGGGCATGGAATTAAAGAGGAAGGAAGAATCCAAGTTACTTGGGTTTCAAGTCTAAAAGCAGTCTACAGCATGTCTAAAAGCAGCCAGGACACAGCCAGATATCAGGGAGGAGTAAATCAGGTCAACAATACATGGCCCAAGGGTATTAGAAACATCTTTGATGATGGGGTGGGGATGCTGATCTATTTCAGTTAAAGGGGAGGAAATTCTCAAAGACAATGGGCATACAGGAGAAGCAGCATGATCGAAGACCAGAGAAAAAAGTGCTGATAGTAGAAATCTTTTCTTTAAGAGGTCTAATAGCTCTCTGGTATTACAAGTAAGAAGTTTCTTAAAATATAGAAGCACACTTCATGATCCCTTTGCCATCTTCTTGCATGGATCCATCACTGGCTTAAAGCTTTTATCCTAAAAGAAGCCACCACATCCAGCAGATCAGTACAAGTAGAAATCAAAGAAGCACAAATTCAGAGGGACTCAGATTACAGTCCTAATGCTGATTGTGAAGCACAGACTCATTAAAAGCTGATGACAACGCTGCTAAAGGATTAATTGTCACAGTTGGTGACATAAGTTTTACAGTTTAACTTGGGAACATGTTAAACAGCAAAAATGTAGAAAATATGCATGTCACAAATCTCAGCAAAACATAAATTTAAACCACATGACAATCTGAACTCACCAAAGTCTTGTACATATTCTTGGTTGACAATAAATCAGCACACAGAACAAGACTGTTGAAGCTTTTGACAAATGTCTATGCCTCAAAAGAGAGAATCAGACTGCGACTGCTGACACTGGAAACAGGATTTGAATACAATCACTAGTCCCCTACTTCTGCAAATAATCTCATGTAAGCTGAGACAGATGCCCTGAATGGTTGCGAGGCTGGAGGTTTGATCACCCACATTACATTTTATCCAAGTTTTGTGGGATGGTATCTGATATCAAGAAGTGATTGGCAGAGACCTGTTCTAGTGAGTTTAACATAGATTGGGCATCGTTCCATTGTCTGGATTCACTTACCCTAACATTGGGAACATTGTTAGCAATTCTGGAATGTGGGGCCTCCCTGCTGCTGCGGAGTCGGGGCGGTCTGCTTCTCCCCACCGCAGGGAAAAGGGTAACACCACCTGGGTCTGGGTGCAGTTCCCCCCTCCAGGGGCAAGGGTACCTAGACCTGGGGTATAGAGTACGCTTGGGGAGTGTGATTGTGTGTACAGTGTCTATTTATGTCTGTCTCCACGTTGGGTGAGTGCTGAGTAATTGCATATGAGAGCATGAGGGTGGGAATGGATGTTTGTATCTGTGTGTGCCTGTTTGTCTGTGTCTATATGTCAGGTCGGGTATCAGACGCCACCTCTCTGGGACATCTCAGGCCCTCCAAGGTATGGAGGCCTATCTCCCCCCACCACTCCGGCAAGCTGGTTCCACAGAAGAGGGGCCTGAAAACTGAAGGCTCTCCCTCCCATTCTACTTTTAAATACTCTAGGAACAACAAGTAGGCCTGCAGAGCGAGAGCAAAGTGCTCTAATAGGGTGATATGGTACTACAAGGTCATTAAGATAAGATGGGGCCTGATTATTTAAGACCTTGTATGTGAGGAGCAGGATTTTGAATTCAATTCTGGATTTAACAGGAAGCCAGTGAAGGGAAGCCAAAACAGGAGAAATATGCTCTCTCTTTCTAGTCCCTGTCAGGACTCTTGCTGCAGCATTTTGGATTAGCTGAAGGCTTTTCAGCGAGTTTTTAGGACATCCTGATAATAATGAATTACAGTCGTCCAGCCTGGAAGTAATGCAGGTGGTTTTTGTGTCTGGGGATGGGCGTCCAGGTACACACCGGCTCACTCCTTGGCGGCCGCTTATCGGGGCCTGGAGCCTGGGGCTCGCTCGGGCCACTTCGGAGGTGGGGTGCCCCCGGCCTCTCGGCCTGGGGCTCGGTCACTCAGGCACGGCTGGCTGCCGGCGGAGCTCACGGGCGCGTCACTGCAACTCCCCCTGGCTTCTGCTCCGCGGCTGCTGAGTGAGCCCTCATCTGGGACTCTCCTCAGCTCTTTCTGGGACAGTGGCGCGGCTGCCCCTCTGTTGGTCTTCCTTGGTCTCTTGTGTTCTGGGGGCCTCTGGATGTCTGGAGTTTTGATCTCCTCCATACCTGCTTCATGCCCTGGAGGACGGGGCTGTGGCCCCCCCACACCCTCTAGCAGATCATTACATGAAGGAACCTTTTAAAAAAAAACAAGCGCGTCCATGCTCACAGGTGTACACACGGGTGATCACACCCACAAACTACACCCTTTTTGGCTCCTACCTCAAAGCACACTGTGTTCTGTTGATCTTATGTGCTGCACAATAATGTTTAATATTTAGTATTTACTGTCATATTCCCATATATCATTGTGATGTTGTTTATTCTATTACTCTTGTTCTCTTCTGCTTGTTTTCTTTTTTCTTTCTCAACAGGTGATCCAGGTGATTGATAGATGCATTTTTATTTGCTGCCCGTTCTGTTGGTTTATGTTTTTTGCCCTTCTCCCCCGTCCCTCTTCTCAGCTGTTTTTCTTTCCCTCTTTCTATCTCCCCTTCTTTCTCCTCCAGTCAAGTCTGTCCTCATTCAGCAAGTGAAAATAAAATAAACAATAAAAGGTGAATCAAATGGACCATTACGGCAAGGCTGGGATGGTCAATTTGGTAAAGTAAATCCGTTGGGCATCTTTCTTTGCCTTTAGACAATAATTCTGATGCAAAAGAGCCAAACGGGACAGGCCAGAAAAAAAACAAACAAACAAAAAAACCCCATCTGATTAGCAATTCGCTAAGCTAACTCAGGGCCTGTGCATTCATAT